GAACCGAACCGATGTGCTCAAAATTTCAACCGAACCGAAACCGACATTATCTTGATAAGTGTCGGTTTGAACCGCTCGGTTCGGCTCGGTTCGGTTCGGTCCATGAACCGAACCGTGCCCATCTCTGCCGTCCAGTAATAGCTTGTTTGCATATACGAGTGAGCCGATGACATACTTGTTTTTGTGTCTCACGGTCAAAAAGATGAATAAATGAACCAACATAAAGATAATCGGCTGGTTGAATTGTGTTTAAAAATTGATCGTCGAATATATCACCGGTAGTAATGCTATTCTTTGTTTGCATCAGTTTCCCATCACGAAATAGTTCATAACCTTGTTCGATAAAAGAAGGATCCAGCTCATAACCGTGTACGTTATCGACAGGCACTCCATCGTAGATAAGTTGTCTTGTATCTTGGCCAAGACAACATCCAAAATCGATCACTGTTGCATCCTCATTTTTGCATTTCTCAAGGATTTCTTCGTAAGTAGGACTTTGTTGAATAGCAAACTCAAGAAAAGACCAATGACCTAGACATGGAAAGTTAAAATTTTTCTATGCACGTTCGCGTACAGCTGTCAGATGATCACGCAACACCAAGGCTGGAATCGAAGTATAATTGGCAAAAAAAGTTTCCACATTGACGTTTTATTGGTGGTTCATCAATATAGGATGATGTAATTTTATCAGAAGATTCATGTGTCAACATATTCTACAAATAGTATCTGACTTTTCAAAAAGTAGCTGTTATGTAAAAATTATAGTCACTTCTAAGACTTTTTATACACTAATACGTCAAACAAATGAAATACAGATAAAAAAAATAGACAAATTCGAATGAAAGCAGGGTGGGTGTGGGTGTGGGTGTAAGTAGTGTACCTTTATCTATACCCGCACCCACACCGTTTATAGTTTTATGTGACAAAGTGAGAAAATGTTGATTGTTAGAAAAAAATAATGAATAGATGAAATTGAGATAAAAATTAAACAATAATAGCTGTACACGTGGTTTTCATCCTATCTTTTTCGTTCTTTCACATTGTATCGTACATATATATAATCGTTCTCTTTATATCGCTTCTTCTTTCTCAAATTGTTTTCTCCTAACTTGAATTTATTCGTTTAACAGTCGTACGATGGAAAAGTTGATCACAATATCTAACAAACACCATAGTGGAATTGAATTGCTTTCAGTAGAACTATGGCGAGAAATATTTGATTATTTCAATGTAAATGATTTGTGGTATTCATTTCGTGGTTTGAATAAACATATCGATGGAATTATTGATCAAGTACAATTACATTTAAATTTAGAAAGAAAAGGGAAATATGATTATTATATAAAAAATATTTTACCATTCATCGACGTTGTTAATATTCGATCATTAAAATTACGAAAACATAATAGAATCAAACATTTTTTTTCTATATCTTCTCTTCAATCATTAGTTCAACTTCGATTATTATCATTAGAATATATATATTCGTTCGATGATAATTTATTTACATTTTGGAATCAACTTTCATCTTTAAAATATCTACGATCATTGAGAGTTATATTTGGAAGTAAATTTCGTTCTAATAATCACCTCGAAGAAAAGCAATTCATAATTCGTTCGATATTTACTCAAGATTTCTGTCCTTTACTCAATTGTATTATCATTAAAAATTATGGAAACGATAGTGTGAATACTGAACTTCCCATTCCTTCATTAATACAATCAACTAAAACGACCAATATCAAATATTTAACCATTGACCGTTTAACTTTTGTTGATTTGATTGAATTACTTCCTGCATTACAAAAGACAAAATCATTTTGTATAGATGACGAATTTTTTTGCAATGACCAGCTTTTTACGCAACGAATAGTTCCAATTGCAATGTCATTGATGCCCGAGTGCAGCAAGTTGGATTTGAGTGTACCAGCTGATATGACTTTCGAACACATCGAATATATATTAAAACATACTCCAAATTTGAAAAAATTGATCATAACTAATGACTGGCATTTACTTGATGCAAAAAAATGGGAATCATTACTCTCAGTACGATGTTTACGATTGTTAGAATTCGAATTAACATGTAATGGTGCTGATAACGATACAGATTATGAGGAAGCCGGATATGATTTTGAGGCAGAATGTAAAATGACAACGTTTTGGATGGAACGAAATTCTGTAGTTATGCATGAAAGTTATGGGGAGGATGATTTTTATTTTACCATAGTTAAATTTCATATTGGAAAAGTAAGTTACTTGCAATTCTTATCCCGTTTAATACTACAAAAAAGTGGACAAGCATTTATATTCTCTTCATTTTAGACAATAGATGAACTGTATGCTATGATATTTCCATATGAAATGGATATAAAAGATGATCCTTAACAAATAAAAACTTTTTCGCATTTAGAGTTTTCTTTTTGATTATCATTTTTTGTTTCTCATCTCATATATTCTGAACATTTGTTTTTTGTTTATTTTGTTGTCATTTGTGTGAATATACAAAAGACTAATTTACATATACTGAAAATACTTATAATAAAGAATAAAGTAACACTCTTAATTGACACCATCTTATTCGATATCAAACTAATACACATTTTTTTTATCTGATATGACTTCTATACTTTTCCATTGTATTTGATGATATTATCCTTAGCTGTTATTATAAATTTCTTTCCTTATTTGTTCGTACTATTTGATTATAAATTTAAAAAAACATATGATGTATTAGAACGTTTTTTCTTTCTTAAGCTTCTGCATTAATTTTTGTAAGAGTGACAAGTATACAAGAGATTTATTAATAAATATAAAGGAACACACTATTGATATTTTAAATGGTAAAATATGCCAAAATTATTATTATTATTATAGAACTTGCATATGAGAATTATAAAGTTTATTTGATGGTGATGATGGTCACTACATACATCTTCAATCGTGAATATTTTATGTTTTATTTTAACTTGTACATTGTCTATTTGCCTTTGCTTGTTCTTCGGCCTTTTTTTCTTCTTTGGCTCTTTTTTCTTCAGCTTCTTTATCTTCTTTGGCTCGTTTTTTTTCGGCTTTTTTTTCTTTGTCTCTCTCTTCTTCAGCTTCTTTTTCTTCTTTGACTCTTCGTTTTTCAGCTTTTTTTTCTTCTGCTTGTTTTTCTTCTTCAGCTCTTTCTATTTCGGCTTCGTATTCTTTTTCTGCTCTTTCTTCTTGAGCTTTGTATTCTTCTTTGTCTTTTTCTAATTCGGTTTCGTTTTCTTCTTCGGCGTTATTCTTTTCTTCTCCACCTTGTTTTTCTTCTGTGGTTTTTTCTTTTGCAGGTTTTTTCTCTGTTCTGGCATTTGGTTTGTTTTCTTTCTGAAAATTAAACAAAACAGTTGAGAGGAACCATTCTCTCTTTAAGACAAAATATGTTCTACTCACCCCAATAGCTTTTTCGATTCTTTTAAAATCCACCTGCTCAGCACGAGATTTGTTTTCTTGAATCCATTTATCGTAATTTTCTGTTTAAATAAACAATAGAAAACGTAGAACATATACTGTACAATAAAACACATGTAAAAATGATGTAAAGACTTTTTATTAAAAACAATTTTGATATTTTTTAGAACGAAGAAAGTTGAAAATTATCTAATGATCTTGATATTATATAAATAAACTACGAATGGTACTTTGCAAAGGCCAATGACTTCTGTCCTAACCAGGATTACTTTCTAAGATAGAACAGTAGGGTGATGAACGATCAAGATGTGCATAAAAAACTAGTTCTCATCAAACTATCACTAATATAACCTCTTCAAATAACGATCAACAGTATGGTTGAAGTTGTGACCACTCGAATTCTTGGACATAAAATAATCGAGTATATAAACTAAGTTTTTATGTCAATCTATCTGATAAATTTCTAGATTACTCGATTTCTCAAAAATCATTCTAATAAACAATCTTCTCAACGTTTTGGAAACGTATCATAATTTGTAAAAGTTTCTCGTAAATCAATATAAAACTTCCGCATTAGATGCTTACTTTCAAACTCTTCTGGAGTTTCCAATTGATCTTCTTTGTTATCGGACATAATTTTTTCTTGCAATGAAACAATAGTAAACGTGAATCAATACACTTGTACCAGAAGCTCAGACTAATAAATACATATATCCCGAAGCAAACACAGATAAATTTTATTTTTGTTGAAAACATTCTTGTATTTCAACATATATTCACGTCTATTCTTCTCATTCTTCTCTACTTGCAATTTAACTAATTTTTTTCTTATATTTTGTTTCATTGAAACAATGTTTATAGAACATGGAATTTAAGAATAAAAGATAAAGAATTCGTCGTAATGGCTTGATTCTATTATGATTTATCATTAAAAAAATAGTCTTAATAAGTTAAATTTATTATACATAATGCAATGACTAAACTCAAACTTTTGATCAGTCTTTTTATTATATCTTCTTTTTTCGTTTCGTTTAAATATTATCATCTTCTATTTTACCTATTTAACGTAAATTATTCGACTTAATCCATGATTTATATGGTGTTTGAAATCCTTTTGATGACATCTCACATCTAAGATTTTTTTTATTTCTTGCGGGTGTGAGTGTGGAATGATATTACGCTCACACCCTCAAGGTGCTATAAATATGAAACGAAGAATATTTTAATCGAAGGAACATTCAATGAATTTTATCTCATCAATTTAATGAGTGTGTCAGAGTCGGTCCTTTCGAAATCCTAATGTATCCAACGTATCTTACATTTACAATACGGATTTATAACCCACGATCGATCTTTTATTTTGAAATTCTTTCAATGACATAATTAACGGGAACTATTTTTTCATTTTTAATCTTTTCTACTCTATTTAAATTCATTTCAATGAAATAATAAATGCTAAATATGTCTTCAGATTAATTATTCTTTCATTTTTGATTTATCTCAATAGTTGAATTAATCATAAAATGATTCAAAGACAACATATATATGTAGACGTCAGAGAAAAATAGGATGTGAGTGTGCGTGTGGGTGTCTACTTTTTCTATTCACACCCATACCTACACCCACACCCTCTTTATTTGCTTAATTACTGTTGAAACAGATAGTAGAATGAAAGGGAGAAACATTAATTCGAGAATCATTTTCTCTTTCTTTTTTACTATATATATATACCTTTCTCGAATTACTCAAATAAGGATCATGTTTTTTTCCTTATTCATATTTTACAAAAGAAAAGGCAATTGCTTTTGTTATTTGGAAATTTCCGATATAGTTACAGATAAACTATGACACACTCTGAACCGAAATGTACCATCTATATGTGTTTCCAACATTAGGGTTCATATACTATCACAAAATATGTCTTGAGGGTGAAGGTGAGGGTAGAAACCAGGTCGATGTTGAGAGAATTTAATAGACTCTCATCCACATCCAAGCGTCGACCATCTTGAGAGTGAAGGTAAAACAGAATATCACCCTCTCACACACATTCATTTACTTGCAGTACAGTTGTCCTTCCTGAATTGTCACAACAGTAAATCATTTTTTTATATTTTATTAATATTCTTTTTGTAAAATAGTTTGCCTGATAATGAAAGATCGTGTACTATAAGTGACGGAACTTGATCGTAATTCATTTATCCAGGTACTCTTATTGTCAAGCTAACAAAGTTAAAGTATTTCGTACTTGTAGCGTGTACTGAATGGAATATTTGGTTTTTTATATACTAACCATGTATGACTGGCACTTGTAAAATTCAAAGTTTCATTAAAATCTTTGTTTCTTTCAATAAATGTGTTTCGAACTTGAAAGATAAAAAAAAACTTGGTTATACTACCATGAGAATGACATATTTGCTGTATTAACCTTTCATCCATTCAATCACTTTTCAGAATTCCGTCTGCATCTAATAATTTAGAGCAAAATTATTTTGTTGGCTTCAACATTATTTCTAAGAGTGTCGCTTATAAAGACTTTCACATATGCAGTTTACAACGTATATTCAGTAGTTATGTGTGAAAGATCCAGTATCTATGTTTGCCTCGCTCACACTCATACTTTTATCGTAGTAGGTATTTGAATCACCTTAAGCCTATTGCTCGAAATCATCGTATGACAAGGAAGTAGTAGTTTTTTCCGGGAAAAAACTATTGATTCAATACTTGCCAACAATACCAATATGAAAAAGCTAAGCCTACTTGATCCTCAAAGATTAATATATGTATAATGAAAGTCAAATATATAATTAATATTCATGTGCTTTGCTATTCTCTAAGAGTCAACAGTGCAGAATATTAAAGGTTAAAAGTTTAAATTGGAAACTATAATCATTCCATCATAAAACAATCTTTGATGTAATGATTCATACAAGTGCATATCATCATTCTTAGCAAATGAGGTCACATGATTAAATAACGTCGTTAGAACGATACCAAAGAAAAATCATCAGTTTGCTTGCATTTTGATCAAAGAACAGTGAATAATCCAATTATTTGAATTCAAGATATAGTGTGAAAGCAAAGATAATCTAGTGAAAGTCTTAATTTCATAACTGATAACAGATAAATGATTCAACATTCTGCCTACGAACATTAAAAATTCTAAATAGTTTTATTTTACTTAGATAAATTAAGCTGAAAAAGGAATGATAATGGTAGTTTCATTAGCTTTATATATAGATAGATTGACTCAATAGAATTTTGTTCATTTACAGATGATAAATTCTAGTACAAGTATAGAATCTTGATTTTGAATAACAATTAAGGATTTCACTTCCGGGTTCTTTAGGCAACAGAATCCTAATATTCTTAGTAATAATATGTCACTGATTCAGAAAGTGTAACATTATCTCAATCGAAAAACAAAAAACACAATATGCAAATGAAATACTTGGCTCTTTCCTACTAAAATGATCTTAATTCCATTATTAGTTACTCATCATTTGCACTTATCACAAGCTTTGCAATAATATACTTTCCAACATTATGTTACTTCCGCGATAAATCATACGATTTTTCTATTCACCCATGTATATAAAGGCTGTCTTGATTGCTGAAATCATTTAATTGAAACAAAAATGTTTTTGGCTATTATTCGTCTTTCAATCATCTTCTGTATCGCTATGGCAGTATGCGAGGTAAATTTTTGTTTCATATCCAGTATTTTAATATTTGGAATATTTTTCGTTTTATATGATTAGGCTACCTATGTTCAATGTCTCCAAAGAGTTCCTATTTATTCATGTGCATCAATGACCTGCTCTTACATTGACCATGCTATCACCAGCGACCATTATCCATGTGATTGCTTTGAAATCGAGAAAGTTTCGGGTAAAAAGAAAACATGGTTTAAAATCGAATTATCCAATGGAAGACATGGCTATGTCACCGATGACCACTGTTCGGGTGACGTTCCACGTTGTAAATGATGGTATCTACAATCATAGCATTCTTCACATTTGCTTTTGGACTGTTTTTTGCTTATCAAAATGCTTGAAACATGATATTAATTTTCTATCAAATAAAAGAGATACCTGACAATGCCTATATTTTTCTATCATAAGAATATGTCATGTCTAGATACATATATAAAAAGGAGTATCAGATTGCATTATTGTATTTTTTTATATCACGTCTCAAAGAATTACACGTATAATAATGAACACTACTAATATAACCAGATAATGGTTAATATTTACCATGAAAGTTGTGTTAAATCTATCTATATATTATATTGTCATTTGTGTGCAAAGATACATTTGAATAATGTTGAGATTCTTTTGTATTATGTTTTTTTTTCTATCGATATCTGGTGGTTTACAATCATTTTTCTACGATACAGATCCGTTTGGATTTGACTGTTTGCATTATTTTTCATCGAAGCCACCCTTTTCTGGAATCATCAAATATTGTGTTCGTCCAAATACCGAGAAGAATTTGACGACGATAATTCATTTTTTTAATATATCTGATGAATATTATACTTTCAATGAATTATATCATCTGAATGTTACCTCAGATGATATTCTTCGATGGTCGTCATCGATTGATGTTGCTGAGCAATATCAATATTATCTCAATCGACCATTTCAATCTAATTTATCGAATAAAACTTTTTTTAATTGTACACGTCCATGGTTTGCATCTCGATGCCAATATTCATCAGAAATAAATGAAGATGAATTAGTTTGGAATTCATTTGAAATGACCTCAACAGATAATATGTTTCAACAAACGTGTTACATTCTTTTAAAATGTGATCGTGGTGGTCCATCGATTTGTCTTGATTGGCGCGAGATATGTAATGGTCGAATCGATTGTCTAAATGATGGTATTGATGAAACTGGATGTTTTGATTTAGAAATAAATGAATGTAATGAGAATGAGTATCGATGTCACAATGGATTATGCATTCCAAAAACCTTTTTGGAAATGAAATTTGTGGAAGCGCAATGTTTTGATGGATCGGATGAAATTGTTAAGAACAACCATCTTCTGGGATCTGATTATCAACCACATCTATTCGAATATCAAGAATATGCATGTCGATCTGATGAAGGACAATTTACGTGCGGTAATGGACAATGTGTAGAAGATTTTGGTAAATGTAAGAATAATCGACATTTAGCATTGACTCAATCAATTAGTATTCAAGGAAATTTATCCTATTCATGTTGGATAGCCATGGTTTGTCTTAGCAAAATCATGAATAAAACAGAAAATGTAACATGTGATCAGTTCATACAATCTTCTGAAATCATTGAAGAGTTTAAAAACTGTACGTTTCCTCTTGAATTTCCGATTATTCCTGTACTCTTTGGTCATATACGATTTTTATATCATCCAAAAGAAATTGACAATATTAATATGACATTAGCTCTTAAACCTGAATATGTTTGTTATGATGAACAATTATGTGATTTTCTCACGCCTACATTCCATCATAAAAATTTTACTTGTCGATACGGGAATCAAACAGGCCTTGGCTTGGGTGTCGAATTAACTACATGGAAATCTATCATCGATTCAGTCAAACCTTACTTTATTGGTTGTACCACTCAACGTTATCAAAATATCAGTTCTCACTATTCATCATTATATCATTGTAATAATTCCTCAAAATATATTTCAAAATACCGAATCGTTGATGGTATATCTGATTGTTTTCTAAAAGATGATGAACAAGCATTCGAATTGAGTTGTTTATTAAACCAAACGCTACGATTTCAATGTCCAAATGAAAAACAATGTCGTTCACCTTTGATTTCGACAAATACCTGCTCTCGTCCAAAAGATATAAATGTTGAGAAAATTTTATTTTATCAAATATGCGATCGTATTGCGGATTTGCCCTTGATGTTGATTAACGGACAAAATCATTCAGATGAGACTGATTGTGAAGATTGGCAATGCAATAATATTTATACACGATGTGATGGTTTTCGAAATTGTCTTGATGGAGAAGATGAACAACATTGTATGAAACCAATTACATTAAGTCATTTCTTTTTCTGTACTTCGCCACAGAATCATACACAGATGTGTTTACCAGCCGGTCAAGTCATTAATGAAACTGCCGATTGTTTTGGAGCATCATCTGATGAATCGCAATACTTTCAAACAAACAAATTGCATTGCTCGAATCACACGAAATGTGAAGACGATGATCAACATCCTTGCAATGAAAACCAAGATTGTTTAGAGTATAATAATTACCAGTTCTGTGTTGACAGTCTACAAGTATGTAATGGCTATAGTTTTGATAATCTTATCGATATGCGAGACGTTTCATGTCGAATCATTAATATCGATGATAAGTATTTTTTATTAGATACTGCATTAGTTTATCCAATCTTACAGACTACTACAATATATCCTATTAAAAACCAGATCACTGACAAAAAAATAGAACCGCCGACTAAAAAGATAACACAGCCAGATGTTTGTAATTATGGTTTACATATGTATCATCGACTCGGAGTAGGTAATTACAGTAGTCTATGTTTTTGTCCACCAAACTATTATGGTGATCAATGTCAGTATCAAAACCAACGTGTTAGTTTAACTCTCGTATTGGCAACGATTCATCAGCCGATTGTCTATGCTATTATTGTTACATTAATGGAAGATGACAATGATAGACAAGAAATTCATTCATACCATCAACTTACTTATGAATCAAAAAAATATTGTGGTCGATCTGTAGATATTTATCTGTTATATACAACACGAGGAAAGGATAATTCAAAAAACTATAGCATTCGTATTGATGCATTTGACAAGAGTTCATTGACATATCTATTAAGTTGGCATTTAACAATTCCATTTATTTTTTTACCAGTTAATCGATTGAGTGCTTTTTTGACCATTCCAATATCTCGACCATCCAATTTTAAGCATTGTAATCTTCAATGTTATAAAGGTACTTGCATGAAATATCATAATGAGGAACGATTGTTCTGCCAATGTGATTCAGGTTGGTCTGGTGCACAATGTCATATTCCGATCGATTGCAGTATGTGCGCATCAAATTCGATCTGTATTGGTTCGATTCAGAATCGGTCAATATGTGTTTGTCCTCAAGATAAGTTTGGTTCATTTTGTCGTCTTAAACTAATGTGCTCAGAAGGATTTTGCAAAAATAATGGCCGATGTGTCGTAATCGATGAGAGAATGATTGATGAAAGTTATGTATGCTTTTGCTCCGAACAATTTTATGGATCAAGATGTCAATACGTCAATCATCAAATAGAGATTTCCCTTAAGAATATTGATATTCCATCACACTTACTCGTCTATATCTACAATCGGATCAGTTTTGAACGATCAATACCAACATTAAATATACTCAAAAAAATGACTATGTTTCAGAATCATGTTATTTTATATTCTCAACATATGTTCAAAATGATTCTTGTTAAAATTGATACTCGTTATTATTTGGCTATACTTCAAAAAGCCGCACAATCTAACATAACAACATCGATTAATCCTGCACGACGATGTGCTTCTGTTGATGAAGTTTTGGATACTCAACTAGTATCATTATCACGAATTCAACGACTGAAAAGCTATCATATTCCATGTCAGCGTGATTTTAATCTGCAATGTTTCGTGGATGAATTTTACATGTGTCTATGCACGGAAGAACATCATAGTAATTGTTTTCCATTAGATCATCAATCGAGTTTTGTCTGTGGCGATAATGTTTATTGTGAAAATGGTGGAACATGTTTACAAGATCGACC